GTCACAACTCAAAATGATGCACATGTACGAAGCCTAGTAACGTATTTATAAAACATAGTCAACAATCCCCACTGTATACATCGTCTAAATAACCTCACTTTGAACATATTTTTGTCTTTTCAACTTTCTCCCATATAGAGTATGACAAAATTAATACATTTATGGTTGATAAAGACTTCAATGAAATAAAATTAATCACTGAATTATTTCTATCTTCAACAGTTTTACTCTGCTACTTTCATATTGTTAAAAAACTGAAAGAACACATTGCAAAATTGCCGATTAATATTAATCAAAAAAAGGAAATATTAGATTGGTCAAAAAAACTGATTTATAGCCAGAATCAAGCAGAGTTCGACAATCATGCTTACAATTTACGCCAGACTGCTTTAAACACCACCTATTGGACATATTTTGAACAAAACTGGATGACATGCACAAATTTATGGGTATTTTTCAAACGAAAAGATTCTTTATCATTATTAAACAATACAAATAATCGTATTGAATCTTTTTATCGTGTAGTTAAACGCGAATTTAGACGACGTAATAAAATACCGCATCTAAGTGAAGCGTTAAATATTCTAATGATGCTTTTTAATTTGAAAACACATATTCAAGACTTTGAAAATGTTCGTCAAGAATTAACATCTTTTACAATACAAAATACAAAATATCCTGAATTCATGAAAGAGTGTGGACATGTTTTGACCGGTAAGACTATTTCTTTGTTCGCTGCATTAAATGTTGCGGACTACAATGTTTTCTTATACCATCTGATCTGCACTGTATATAGCAGTGATGCCGAACTACTCAACTAGAGATAAAAATTTTGCTTACTAAATATCCGACGGTAGTTGTAGATAATGTTAGATTATTATATCTTAACCCTTCGATTACGTGGCCCGTATATATATACGTTTTGAGCTTTTGCTCAGATTACGGCTGTTATGACCTTCCCACTTTGTCAGGTCATAAGAATACCCTCTCTTTCTCTCACGTTGCCAGTATCACAGCGTCATCGTGTAGCACTAACGTGTATGTATACATCCTCCTTCTCTTGCAAGTAGTAACAAAATCAATTTTTTTGTCATCTTTCTACAAAAACCGTAATCAAAGGGTTATTAATTAAAATAATTTTTTTTATTCGATGATTGATGCTTGATAGAAAACGGACCATAGTTTTATGCGAAAGCGATCTTTCAATGGCAATGGCTCTTGTTGACACGCTCAGACACTCTCAGACACTCTCAGAAAGTGGCAATAGCGCTACCCAATATTTATTTGTCCTTATTTCTTAAGATTTTGCCTGTAGATTTGTTCATAGTCAATTAGACTTGATGGATCGTAGTCGATTGGCACATATTGCACCCAACTCTTTTGACAACAACAATGATAATGATTTTAATACTGTTATGATCAAAAATGTTGATAAAGATTAATCATATAAGATTAATACATGGTCACAAACATGCACCTGCTATTTTAATTCAACAATGTTGTTACCTTGTCTTCACATACTATTTCATTTAAAATCTATCGATAAACTTAAAGTAAATTATGAGTTAACATCTTCACGTTGGCTTAGGCATACAACGATAAACAATGACATTTCATTTAATCCAGTTCCTATTTTACAATCAACATCAAATAAGAATGACAATCAGAAAAATACACTTAATAATGGATTTGAGTCTAGTGGCGATGATGATTGTGCAGTACAGTCAAACGATAACAGTTGCTGCTTAACCGTGGCTGAAAAAAATCGATTAGCATGGAATGAATTTCATATGATTAATAATTATCTGACGCAGCTAGGGACAACTGAGTTTTATGAACGATTAGATGATTTAAAAAATTTGTTCATATCCTGGACTGAGAAACAACAGTACGTAGAATTAGCTACTTCTCTCGCTAAAAATATATTTGCGTTTGTGCGAGTTTAGTAATCGAGTTGATATTAGCACTTCCAAAACAAGTTAACTTCCCCATTCAAAATGCCGAAGATGGCTTTCTGAAGGTTATCTCAACCAAGCGAGTTTACTATTCAATTCAGCTTTTTAAATACCATAGAATTTCAAAATATCTTTTCTTAAGAAAAGTTTGCGGCTTTTGACATGTAACTTACATTGCTACGTATAACTAAAGATGCTCACTATGCGTTTCGACTCCACTCAAGATGAGTTTTTGAAGAATTTTGTTTCTCAAAATTGAATCACGTACTCTACACATAATCTCTCAAGCCGAGCGCTTTTCCTCAAGTGTCGACTTTAGAAGACTATGACTTCTTCATGTTAAGACAGCATAAGTGTACCTTTAACTGATATCTTCCATGACTCTCTCACCACGCGATTAGCACAATGGTTTTTTCTGCTTTAAATTGTTTACAGGCTGAAAAAACAAGCAGAAAATGAAACTCAGACTTCATTAACAACAAGTCCTGAAAAACGTCATGTTAATAATGTAGTACCATTGTTTACTATTACTCGCGTAGTTCATCCTCGTGGGCGGCCGAAGCAAACTAAGAGACATACATCATTCTATAAAAGAATTACAAGTGTCAAACCATCAAGTAAAACAAAAATAAAGCGTCTCCAGGGTCGTCCACTTTCATCCACTTTAAAAAACTTATTAATGAATAGCAACATCGATCTTGCTCCGATGCCATCAATCGCACCATCACTAAGCGAACCGCTGATTGATAACAATGATATTACTCATTCTCAACAATCAGTTAGTAGTAATTCAAGTAGTAAAGTCACCAGATCGGTTGCGGAAGCAGCAGTAGCAACAATAACATTATCACCACTGTCACTTTCATCACAATCATTTAATAATTTTCTCTTACCCTCAACAGAAAACGAAAACAAAATAGAATTAAATTCAGCAATCAATTTGAATTTAAATGCATTGGAAGAAAATGAAAATATTATGAATTTAAATACATCAGATAATCAAAATCATCATCAACAAGAACAACTACCATCGATACCATTACCACCAACAGTTACAACTCATGATGTTAATACAACAGACGATGAAGCTAAAGAAAATTTATGTATTATCACAGAAGAAATAATTTTAAAAAAAATGCTTTTTGATCCACCAACAAAAGAATGGATAATGAAACAACTTACTGATCTTAAATTAATTAGAACTAGAAGTAATTTATCATCTATAGGCATTCCAAAGTATGGAGTTCAACGTGATATCACTATAAATAGTAGACCAGTTATCATTAAAGATATTAAATCAGATGGAAATTGTTTATTTCGGTAAGACTCAGTTTGCACCACAGCCATATAACTATTCTCAGGTATTGAACTTTTTAAAGTTGTACGGCACTTAAAAGTGCCGTACATGTCTCTTACAGCATAAACAAAACAATTGTCTAACCGGTGTGCTCTTTCAATTCCAAATGCCGAAGGTGTGGGTTTGGAAGATGGAATACATTCGGCCGATTTGCGTAATATTTGCTTAGAATGATCTAACGTGGAAATCGTCCACGCCATTTAAATATATTAAAGTAAAAACTTATCTGAAAAGATATTTTGCTAAAAGTTTCTCAAAAAAATATATATATTCGTTTTAAGAACCGTTAACATTGTTTATGTTCGTCTATTTCCCTCATACCAGTACACGAATTACTTTGTGATCATTAAGTCGTTTTGTGTTCTTGAATTTCAGGTGTTTGAGTTATGCAATATCGGGAAATGAGGAGCTGCATGCATCAATTAGAAGTTTAATTGTACAGCAGATTTGTACACAAGATTACAGGAGTTATGGAGTCGAAAAATTTAATAATTATACTGCAGCTGATTATATAAGAGCCACAAAAATGAATCACTTAGGAACATGGGCAATAGAAAAAGTAATTTTTGCTGCATGCGATATCTTCAAAACAAAGATATTTATTTGTCAATGTCACAAAGACGTCTGGATGAAATGGTATCCACTTTATAGTGAATGTTCTTCGGGACCATCCATTTATCTGCAAAGAAATTCGCAAAAGAATCATTTTGATGTGGTCTTAGAAACTGAATAGATAAGGTAAACTTATTTTTTATCTTAAAAAAGATTAATATTGTGTGAGTTTCTTTTTTGACTTTCCACATCTGCTGGATAAAAACCTTAAATGATCCAAGTAGCACTAGATTTCACTTTTTTGGGTGGTTTTTATTTTCGAAAACAAACAAGCTTGAGATCGACGTGCTAATACGTTATTGACTGTTCAACAGAGAAAACCGCTTGTGAAGCAAACTATAACTTTTATTCTCTTTTCATTTTGGTTTCATTCTAGTGAAGACAATTGCAGACAATTTTCTTAAAGCAAATTAAACTTTATTTTCATAGTAGAATGGTAGTCTTGATCTTTTTGTTCTTCTTTTTATTTGTTTTTGATCAATAGTTGTGACTACTCTAGCCAAAAAATAATAACTTGTGTATGCTCTATACTTCTTGCAGAAATCATAATTGTGTAGAATATCTTTAAGTCACATATGAAAAACGAAGTCATACATAGATGAATATAACTTACTTTTGCAAAACTTATTATCAACAATTTTCTATACCTTCTAAAGGCCGCTTGTGTAAATTTCTACACACGCCCACATATTGCACTTTTCAGCGATAGTCTCACAAGTGTAACTGATTGCGCCCACAAACGTAATAGAAAATGAATACAAACAATATCTATTTCTCTCTTTCTCTCTCTCATACTACAACAAAAAGGGGAAATGTATTTTACTCCCTATTTTATTTATTCACTCATATTCGTTATAACTTTACATCGTGTAAATCGTCTCTATTGTCTTGATAATGAAAATTATAATTTTCGAAACGTCGACTTTATTTTTATAAAAACTTTTTAATTTTAATTCTTAATAAATAAAGATGAATCTTAAAACAGCTGACACTCTCAGAGAGTGGCAATAGCTCTTGTTGTCACCCTCAGAGAGTGGCAATAGCCCTTGTTGACACCCACAGAGAGTGGCAATAGCGCTACCCATTACTTTTTATGTAGGAAGATAGATAAGTTTTGGCGCTACAAAAGGTGACGTCGCGGTGCTCTGAGCGACATTTTTTCATGAAATAGCATTCAGTTTATAAAATGGCGTGAGGGAATGTCAGTCTCTTTCTGCCGTTAATTTTGCTGGTATGTTACTATTTCTAAATTGAGTGCTGTTTCATGAAAAAAGTATTCCACAGACTGTGACGACATCTCGTTTTGTTCAGAAATGTGTGCTGTACACGACTGGATTATTTACAAAGAATTTCTTGAGTGCATTCCGAGATTTAGTTTTCTGACATTTTGCTTTTTCAGAGATCCTGGCTTTAGAAATTTTGCTAGAACCTTCACATACACCACATCAGCTTGGAAATTCCTTCTGCTATTTAAAGCTTTTTTCAGATTTTTTCTTCCTTTTCTGTTGCGGAGAAATACATAAACACATCGTTTCTATAATTTTGTCCAGTAATCCAGGTGAAAATTATGATATTTCTCTAGTATTTTTACAATTCCTATATGGGCATAGTTTCAGAAAGCTTATTTATAGCTCATTTTATAGCGTCAATTTGACAAAAAACTAAGACTTAATTTAAAAATTTGGCGACGGTCGGTCCATGTAGTTTCTTTTTCTCTTTTAAACAAAACAAGAATGAACTCTCTACGACAAACCACTATTAAAAATCTTGAGAAATACCTCAGATGTAACTTCTATATCGAGAAAACGCTGTATAAAATAGTAAATTTCAAGACTTGTAGGAAAATGCCCGTAACGTTTTAATTCAAGATCATCCAGAGTTGTGTGACGTCTTATTTTGATCAGAAAAGTCTGCTGCACAAATCTGTACGTTCAGAAAAATTTTAATTATGTAAGTATCCATGAAAAACTATAAGGTGAAGATCCGGTTTTTCGAGGCTTCTAGAAAACTTGCTTAAAATCCGCGAAAAATCACTTCTGTGACCAAAAGCGATGCGGATTCTTAAAGGAGACACTTCAGGCTATCTTTCCATGTGCGTAAGTCAAAACCCATTTTTTGACCGAAAGTAAGTCTGACTCTGTTTCGGTACTCATTTAGCTTGCGCGAAACTTCTATGGTGATAGGGACAAATAACAAAAGGATTGAAAAATCTGGAACTGCAGTAACAAACTGTTATAATTATGATTATAAGAAATAATTTTCGAAAATATCCGGTGTACAATGTCGTTCTGCACACTGATAGTTGAATTGAACTAACGCGTTTAAAAATGACCTGAAAAGCGTCGCAGACTGTCAAAGAAATCGCTGTATGAGGGATCATCGAGGTGCTGGAAAGTTCAAATGTCAGTCGCGCATCATTTTGTGTCCTCACTAATTCAGGAATCCAGGCTTTGTTCTATGATCAACTCTTTGGAAGAAGCTAACGAATATGCATAAAACGCTGAGTGGTACTCGGAAAACGAAGATTATGTTTCGGTTATTTATTTCATGACAAGATCATTGAAGTTTCACAGAAAAATAGTACAATTTGATTATCGAGAAATTTCCGAACTACTCAATGATGTCGGTTACTATCACTGTTTGAACGGTGAACACAAAAAGGCTTTACAGTTTTGTATGAATTCGTTGAAATTGTGTAGAAAATATTCCGGGAAACGAGGCCTTCAATTATTGGCTGCAGGAAACTACAGAAAATCATTAGATGAACTCGAAATTATATTGCCTAGGCGGTATCTCGACATCGAACGTGTACCCAGTGCACTTTGAAAGATCAATGAAATAGAATTATGATGCTGCGCTAACGAATAAACGAGAATATTATATTGAAAATAAAATATCATTCATGTTTGAACTGAGAGATCCTACGATCTTTTCTTCTGTCGTAGATCCTTGATAGATTCATTCGAAACTATCGAGTAAAAACGTATCTTTACAATAAAAATAAAAAACAATCAGAAACATTCTTTTCTGTATAATCCGTTTCTCAGAAGATATCAGAATAGATTGGAATGTAGAAAACCGCATTATACAGACATACGGAGCGCCTCAACTATTTCTCATGCTTATGAACAGCAAGTAGAGTAATATGGGGCAATTCAGCAATTTTTTTGTATCCTTGTAAATGTTTTTGGAGAATCTTTGTTTCTCTGGGGATTTTCGTGTGCTTTTTGGCTACGATATAAGAAGGACTCTTATCTACCTGCCTGTGAAAAATTATCTTCAACACTCTCAGGATAACGATCTTAAAAGCGGATTACTGCATTGCCTGAGACGCTCCTGAGACTCTCTGGAAATAACAGACGTCGGTCAAATAACTCGATTCTTGAATTGCCCCAGATGGGGCAATTCGAGAATCACGCAGAAAGCACTGGGGTAATTCAGTAATTTCCGCTGAAATGGTTGGCGAAAACCGGTCAACCCTGAAACCTTATTCTTCTAGCCGTATATGCACAAATTGCGCTTTTTCCTCTGTCCTCCCTCAGTGCATGCATCTAGTGATTCGATAGTGAATCGATCTACTAGAGGTATCGATTCTGTTGAAAAATGTATAAAAAACTGGATATTTGAAAATAGAATCATTGTCGCTTACGGCCATACCACGATGAATGCACCAGTTCTCGTCCGATCACTGAAGTTAAGCAACGTCCGGCTTGATTAGTACTAGGATGAGTGACCGCCTTGGAATACCAAGTGTCGTAAGCCTTTCTTGTCATTTTCCACTATTTTGTTGACGGGAATGACGACAGACTATTTTGGAAATGAACGTTATTTTCAATAATGAGTTCATCACATATCAACTCGATGAACAAATTTTGCGTTTTCATTCAAGAGTCACACGTTTCGCCTTTGTTTCAAGATGAGC